AGCTGACAATTGCCGTGGCAGCGGATGACAAGCAGTCAACGCGGTTCCGTCGTCGACGAAATCCACGTTACACCATCTACCTGGTCGTATATGTGAGTGCGGGATCTACATGGGAGGAAATTTATCGCGTCATACGTCACCGACAGCCCATTGCCTGCTTGCTAATTTTGAATCTGATTTGCCGAATTAACGTCCACCAACAGTCGGGTTTGGTCGATTTTCAAGGATTGCGGTGAACGACACCGAAACGATCAAACGATTACATTATTCTCATGAAAAATTTCGTTGTAAGGTGTACATTCGAAATAGAAGCCCGCATTTTCGTGTACGACGATCTCCAGCTTTTCACGAGAGTTTGAAAAAGAACAGAAATATCGTAACAACTCCAATATCATGAATCGCGTTATTTACCTAGCCACTGGGAAAGAAAAATCTAAACTTTACGATTACCACGGTGAAAACTTACGAAAATTGTTTGCGCGTTGTGGAAAACTAACAATGGGTAGAACTTCAGAGGAAACGTTTACGGATTCTAGAATCATTTCAAAAAGTTTGGTAAACCAAGATTTCGGGGAGAAACGGAAGAATCAATCGTAGCAATGACATCGTAGATGATCACTCGAGCGCAACGAACAGTTCAATCCGAACAATTCTAAAAGATTTTCTTTTTCTTCCTAATTCGGCACATTTGTATTCTTATTTGGCAATTTGTGGTAAGATGATTTCCGTAACGATCGCCGGAAACGATAAGGACCCATTGATTTCTTGGTCGTGAAAAACGAGAAACAAACGGTACGGTACGCGCACTTTTGGTAATTGAACGGAAATCGAAGGTGAAAGATAATGGAATGGGAAGCAACTAGTCGTGGTCGTCTACGAATCAACTCGTTTGCTTTTCTTTTGCTTAGAGACGGTGCTTTCACGCTTCTCCTCGAGAGAAATTGAAATCCACGTAGCCGGATCTTGAGGTCGAGCGTCGATCCGCGTTATGTACCTCGTCTTTTCCACGTAATTCCTACGCTACTTCTTTCGGTTAAACGACCCTCGTGAATTCAGTTCGGCATTAGAGATAGCTGTAGACGTGAAAAGGAGACGAAATCGTTTATTCTTGGCCCGGTTGATGCTTTCATTAGAAGCTTCGTTGAAACGATGCCGGGGGAATGAAACGCGAGCGAATTACCGGACGATTTAAAGCTTCTTTCGGAGTGCATTTCTTTCAGAAATTGGCGGAAACTAATGAGACGTCGCGTTTGCGGCTATCTTTCTGTTATTCATTAAAAAGCGATTCCTTTTGCGATCCTGAAAGGTTAATACACCGTGAAATATATTTTCAACACACAAAAAGTTTTCCCGCAAATGTTGCATAAGCTAAAACGCTTAAACTTCAATTTCAACACGATTAATTAAACATAACCAGATTAATAAGAAAACGTAACTTTATAAGCTCCATGATTCAAGCTGAATAATTCGAAGATATTTTTAATAAATCCAAAATTTCCAGCTAAAATAACCGTCGGTTCACGACAGCAAATATTTAAATAGTTTCTTGAGCAGAAATAAATGCAAATGAAGGAGCTAGTTGACGGTCTTGTTATCCTTTAAAGCGTACAGCATCGTTTACGTGCGATAGACAAACCGATGTACCTACATACACAGGAGCAGCAAATCTTCCCTTCATGACACAACTCGTCCCCGCAGCTCGAGCTGACAATCACTCGTACAACTTGCAGCAGATTACCGAACGAAATACCCAGTTCTGTACTTCATCGGGGGATTCGTGTTCGGTTACAGTTAAATTACGCGACCCATTAACGGGGAACGACAGCAAGAAGAAATCGATTTTCCCTCGGGTCGCCGAAGGGCTAAGTAAATGCACGGAACTGTCTTCGGAGGACTTTGATGGGCTAAAAACTTTGACAGGTTCGTGCGCCGCCCGAGATTGCTCGGTGTCAAGTAAATACCAAAGTTTTTCAGTGAAAATCCAGCTATACGTTGGTCGTCTAAACGACTCGATGATAAGATTTCCTATTTCGTGACCAAATAATTTCACCGTCCAATTATGAATATGCAGTCCTTAAACATCCAAGCGAAATCGTTTCCTCATTGTAGACAAATTGAAAATGTTCGTATATCATTGGTAGGACGGTTAATCGGTAGCCGATCGCTAGCGAGCGTCGAAATTGACAGAAATTCCAGCGTGATCTTGTCAGTGAGAAATCTAGATTGCCTTTCGTACTGTACATTACAACTCGATAGCCCGAACGGGTGGCCGGGTCAGTACGTATCCTATTGGAGAGCACACTGGCTGTGGACGCAGTTTCCTTGTTCAGAAACTGAGCTGACGGCGTGCAATGTCCGATCCAATCTAGGTGTGTATGGTCCACGGCTAACGGATGCCAACCAGCTCTAACTGCTCCAGTGTACGTGGTATCCTCGTTCTCTACTATCTACATGCACGCGTAGGCGGCGCAAAGCCTAGTGTAACTATACGCGTGTGGATACAAACGAAGCAGGATGGTGTGTCCACTGGTATAGTTGCACGGGGTTCGGATGCCTCGCCAAAGGCGACAAGGGATGTACTCTGACTAAATTGCCGCTGTTACTTCTGGGATGCCTCATTTTTACTTAGCTCGCGACATCCTCTGGGACCAGTCATTTCCGTCTTCGAAGCGAAACAACATCGCGGAGAGTTATTTTTTACTGTTCCAAGTCCGACTACCATCAGGTTGTTTTATAACTTTCATATTTCATAATTTCTTCTTTTTCCATTATTAACACGGTGTTTGAGAAGAAGAAGATAAAAATCCGATTCGAATCTTGCTGAAGTAGTGAAAATTGTATTTACAGTAGATACGCGGTTCTATATCCTAGTCTTCGTTTCATTGATCAGTTTTCCCCTTTAAGATACTTATCGACGTATGCAATATTGATAAAGCGATTCGTCCTGCTCTTTGGATTTACGAACAACAGGGGACCTCGAACGAGATCGATATCTCACGTGTAATGTGCACAGTGGCATGCTCGTTCGAACGTAGTAAAGCACCAAGCGAACCCGAATGTTGCAGCGTTTGGTAAATCGAGGTCGCATTCTGCGAGTAGGAAAATTCTCTCTTTATCCCGGCTTCTGCAACAATCGCTTTTTTCCCTGTCGTCTTGACTCTTGTATCACCATTTCGAGTACACTAACATTTTCACTTCGTACACGTACGGGATAGAAAATATTTGAAAAAATCTTCGTAGAGTGTTAGAAGGAGGAAATTTAGAACCAGGCAAACTTTACACGTGATAACGGTGTAACGTCGGCGTATCTTGTTAAATATGTAGTTGCCGAAAGTTGGTAATGCGGACAGTTGTGTCGTAAAGTAAGACGGTTACAACGCTCGAGAATTAACTGGAAGGTGGTTCCGTCAGATGATATGATTTCGAAGTAATAGGAATCTCGGTGCGGTGAAGTCTCGCTGTTGAATCTAAGCTAGCAATGGGAATAGTTCATCGTAACGGTATAAGCTTTTGTGGGATAGCGTGAACTGTGAGCTAAACGTTCCTAACTCCTGCTACTAGTAACTAGTAATTAAGCGAAGCGCTGCTGTGTGAAACGAGCTACCCTCTGTAACTCCCACCTTTCAACCCTCCCAAGTGTAAGGTAGTCAACCGTTCGTGTCCATGAATTTCTCGCTTGTTAAGTAAACATGCTCATCGACCAACTTTTTTTTCCCCCTTCACCGAAAACTTTTATCGAAACAATTGCCGGGATGAAGCATAATACGGGGTGATTCCTAACGGCGCCATCAAACATTCAATGTCGAGATCGTATCGTCAAGTTCAATATTGAACAATACTGTGTTCCCAACAATTATAGCTTAAGCTCACTTTATGATTAATGGTCGATAGAACATTCATTTGTTTCCTGAAAATTTTGCATGTTTATTGGAAAGCTTGGATTAATTTAACCCGAAAACACGCATAAAATAAAGATATCAGAAATTCAACCGCTTACGAGCAGAGTTTCTATACGCGAATAGATTCGCAACATAAATTGTAATATAATCCACGATAAACAACCGCCGTTTTCCTTTGGCCTCGATATTAATAACGTCTTAATTGGAAATTAGACCACGACACAGGTGTTGAAAATATTAAAAGGTATTATAATTCATTATTCTCCGTTACACTAATGAATTTCTAACAAGAATACATAATTTTCATGATGAAACCTAACCTCTGCAAATTATCGAGTTACGTTGATTTTTGGGTTAACAATTCTAATTTAAAACGAAATTAGATCGCACAAGGTCTGCTCTCCCTCGAATAACGTGACTACGTTATATGTAGATGGGCGTACACGAAAATTTGCAAGCCGAGCCTTATTCCGTCAAGAGAATGATTTAAAGCGCATCGATTAAAGGATCGTATAAATTGTCTTCCTTAAATCAGCTTTCCTAACCTTTAATCGTCACAAATACCATTCTGAATAACGAATTTATGATAGCCCTTTCAATTATTTAAATCCAGGATCAATAAATCATCCTGATCTACTTATTTTTTAAATTATTACCAAATAAAGTACTATAATTTATAATTGTTGTTTATCAAGGATTAGGTGAATAACGTGAATCGTAAATAACAAATGATATCGTTAATACCAAACATCGGATGCCATTCTATTGTGCAAACTAACGCTATAAATAATAAAACACAAAATACATGCAAATCAGAAATATTGTTAATAATTAACATTACTTACCATGCAGCAGTCCAATTGATTTCATCTCCGCACGGTTGTCGTCGTTTCAATCCATGGAATTCACAATTGTAAATAAACAGGATTTAGAAATTGACATGTAACTACGACATCCCCGTTGCGACTTGGAGCTTCAGGTGTAGTGGAGCGTTGAAGCGCCGGGAAGAGAGTGGGGAGGGGGGACCTCCTGCGGTGAAACGGTTCGCCGGACGACCGTCGCAGGGGCGCTGCGACCCTCAGGACGTCAGTTCGCTTTCGTACCTCGACGCGGTCGGATCTCACCTTGTATCTGTCACGTACGCGTACGCATACGTATACACGCGCGCAGCTTCTTATCAGTACAGTAATTCGAAGTGAAAACAGTTATTGGTCCGCGACGGATCGACGTTACCGTTGCAAATCTTCGCCGCGAAATGACGTTAATCACGTGATCGGTGTGGACGAACGTTTAGTTGTTTCGAATTTGATGACAGGAATTTTTTAAATCTCGTACGCGAGTGTTTGTCACGGATAATGGACTATCGGTAATTCGAACAGCATTCGTTAGCATTAACGTCGCGATCGGTGGTGATTTAAAGTGAATCAAGTGACGCGGCTTATAGAACGTTGCTCCACAGTGCATGAGAACGATTTGTGATTTCTCTCGCGAATAATCCAGTGCTTTTTTCGATGGTTCCTTGGATAGCACTTGTTAGAAGACACATCTTAAACAGTTTATAGTAACAAAAACTTTACAAGAAAAGATTTGAAAGTTGAACGACTCACATCACTAATAAACGGGCGGCACCGCGCGCGTACCCTCCGCCATTACGTTTGACGCGCGATCGAGAATCGAAGCGCGCTACAATCGATTAGCCAGCAATAGATCGTAAAACGTGGGTGGCTGAAATGTTCAGGAAAGAACGTCGAACATGCGATACACGAGTGTTCGATTAATCGACGTGGGTACGTGCAACGGTCGTGGTTCGCTATCAAGAGGGTTTCAATTAAATCTCCCGCGGGGAAGGTCAAGTGCATCGTGTGAGCGACATTCAGTTTTCAGTTTTAATTAAAACACCCCTCTGGGATTCCTATTATCACGCTTGTGTTTGAAATTAATTAGCCACGACACGGACAGTTACCGTGGCGAGTGAGCGAGAATCTGGAAGAACGGTGGATTTTACGCGACAGTAGAATAGCCGGGAAGAAGTGTTGCTAGTCGTTGGAATGATTCGATATATCGATCTCGAAGTAATCGTTCAGTATCGAAGCAAATAGCGACGCCGTTTCAGTGTATCTCGTGGCGTTGAAATCGCGTGTGTGACAGGTTAAAGAGGAAGCTCGATCAGATTTTTGTTAAACGTTTTCTCGCGAGTGACAAATTGTGTCGTTGCGTGCGAAAGAAGGACGCCAGTTCCAGAGGGAGATAGAGACGATAGGAAAAGTGGGAGAAAAAGTGAGCAGCTTATCGGTCGTCGTAGCATCCACGGCGAAGGAATGAAAGCGGCGTAGCAACGGCAATAGGTAAGACGAACTATCGCATTTTTCTTTTCTACGAGGCTCGATGCCAGAGAATCAATGGGGGAACATTCATTGCCAATTTCTTTTCGCTTCGATAGCGACCGATGCGTCAGACTTGATCGGGTTTCTTCAAGATTTCTCTCTCGCGCTCGATATTTCAATTTCGAAATGAAACGGAAGAACAAACTACGCGTGTAAATAATTCTGAATATGAATTTTTTATTCGAATAACTCTGAACACTTGAATATTGACCCGATCACGATTCACTCAGCTACACCGTTTAAGGTTAAGTGTTACGAGGTTATCACGATTGGAAGGGAGATCGTGGCTTCTGTTCTTGGCCGAATATAACAACAAAATGGCGGGCAATATTTGCCAATGGCTTAACTTCGTGATTCAAAACACTGTGGGTAGGGGTGGTAAAGGTTACTTTCGACTAGTTTAGATTTAGTCAGATATTGGATTTCTCTATCAAACTATATTATCGGCTACCCTTCCGTATAGGGGATCACTCCGATCGGATCGTAAATGGTGTCAATCGATAGATCTCGGTTAACTGAGTCGAATGCAACAGGTTTTAATGTTAGGAGATCATCCGTTAATTAAATAAAATCAATTAAAAATAATCGCCGTCTTCGGCATAGTAGGACTACTCTTCCGTCTGTTGGAACGCTAGGCAGTAGCGGTTCCGGGGTACAAATTTAGGTCAGGTGTATGCAAAATTGGAACTTAAGACATACAATCAACTTGGACCGGAAGTCGGCTCGCAATAGAAGTGGTTAGGTTAGCCCAGATTTTATGGGGTGGGGGTGCAGGGGGAGGGGCAGAGCCCCTCCCCCGCCCACTTGTTCGACAATATGATGGAATAGTGATGGATTGAAATTATTTTCTACACTTCCGGTATAATTTGATATATCTCGAAAACTACGCAGCTAATGAAAAAATATTATAGAACATAAATAGTTGCAAATTTAATTTTTTACAAAAAAGGTCTCTAAATATTTTACCATATTTCGCATAGTTTCCGAGATATAATGTGAGTACGGCTTCGGAACTTTTACGGAGTTGTTCTACTGTGCCGAAGACGGCGATTATTTTTAATTGACTTTATTTAATTAACGGGTGATCTCCTTACATTAAAACCTGTTGCATTCCACTCTGTTAACCGAGATCTATCGATTGACACCATTTACGACCCGATCGGAGTATTCTGGCCCATACGGAACGGTAGGCCGGCGATTATAATTAATTGACTTTATTTAATTAACGGGTGATCTCCTAACATTAAAACCAGTTGCATTCGACTCAGTTAACCGAGATCTATCGATTGACACCATTTACGATCCGATCGGAGTGATCCCCTATACGGAAGTCTATCCATATTATCTTATAACCTATTTAAAATGAATTTCACTTTGATCCCTACTTTCGTTTGATACAATTAACGTTATATGTATTTGCTCGATTCAGTTGTATCAAGTTAAATAATGCATGCAATAATTGTCGTATGAGAGGAAGAGGGGGAGGGAGGATGTTTTTATTCGCGCAACGGAGAGGAATGACAAATTGCTAATTCGAGAGGATTAGCAATAAATGCGAAATGAACGCACGGCAGAAATTCGTTGCCACGCAATTTCGTGGCTGCAATTGCGGTATCGTTTGTTTAATAAAATTGAAACAGCTTGTTTTACCGCTGCACTTTGGTGGAATCGTTGCGAGGGAAATTCGTTGCGTGAATGTATACGGAAAAAAAAGTTTGTCTGAGAGATTAACTCGCGAACTGTCGATTACTGTAGCAACGAATTGCGTTAGTTATTATCCGGAACAACGGTTAAAAAACCGAAATTCGTCGTTTAATTTCACGGAGCGAGCAGAAAAAAAACAGACGAAATTACCGCGCACTAATTACGAATATCGCGGTCGTTCTTTGCTAGAAACGTGGCGGATTCTAGATTATACTGGCTGTTTGCTCGCTACGCTAGGGTAATTTAACTTTACCTTGTAAATTATGGAAACGTGTACCACCGTAAAAAAGTTGTAAACGCTATGGACTCGTAATAAAGCAGACAGTGGAATTTTCTTTCGGTCCTGGTTCACGCTTCGCGATCGTCCCTCGTGTTTTACCCATTGAAATGGTCACTGGTTATATTTCATTACGTTATTTGATTTAACTGGTGTTTGAAACTTATCTGACAAAATGACCACATGTTGTAAATCATATCAAACGCGTATTAAATAATAAAGCTCTTATTCAACATGCTAATTATGAGGTAGACCTATTGTTGCTGGTATTTTATCAATAGTTGAACGAGTTAACAATACGCTGTGCAAAGTTTTGAACGGACTACTATTATGATATAAAACATTCCCGTTCGTTTCGGATTTTCTATATTTCCGTATTCAATTAATGATCCAAATTCGTGCTGAATTTTGAAATGTACAACTGGAAAGGGTGTTCAGCCAATTTTTTTGTTTATATGGTCCAGAACATCTCATTTGGTAGAAAGAGAAAAAGGGTTTCATATCTCGCGGTGAAAATAGGGCATTATTTTCAGCAATGTTATTTCATGCTTGGTGTATCTTGTTTAACTTATGGGTGATATCATTATCGTAAAAAACGCGAATGAAACTTTACTTTTTGCGAGTCGTGCGAGTTTTATTTGTACTCTAAAACCGAGTTAAGCATCCTTGTATTAACTGCGTCCATTCCTTTTCTTTCGTCCACGAGTTTCTTGTGTACGTTTGAGGAAGAAACTTCTTTCGTTCACTCTTTGTATTTCAATTCGACTTTGAAACACGCAAATAGTCCGGAGTCTTTGTTCGGGGAAGGTAAACAAACGTATTTTCGTCGCGAATAACAGGCCGTTGTAATATGCTGAAAGCACCTTGGGGGTTGAATTGTTTTAATCGCGAATAGAATTCTTATCCTTTGAACCGGTCAGCTGACATTTTCAGAACAGAAACGTATGCGAGAAATTTGAACGCAGAGCTGACCGATGATCAAAAATCATTGTCCCAATCGTAAAAAGTTGATCAATTGCGCGAACGATTCGTCCAAGTTCCGAGTAAAGTAAGAGGCGAAAGGATGGGTCGGTGACGTTCTCGTGTAGTGGTGAAGCGGAATTTCGGGTTTTCGTGGCACACGGTGCACGACGGGTATATATAAAGTCCATGCACAACCGGTGCATAAAGTAAAAGCGAAGCCGGATGAAAGGAGCCGAGAACTAGCGGGAAACGTGCGTCTGAAGGGTTGGTTGAGTTGTGTGCAGGTTGCGAAAGTAGTCGAGACGGATAGAGTGATAGCTTTCCTCTCTCCTTCGCTCCTCCCTGTAACTCTTTCTCCATTTTTTTCTACTTCCCTCTTAGTTTCTATTTCTCTCCTCTTATTTCTACCACTGCCACCGTTACTTCCCTCTTTTTTTTTCTTTCTAATTCTATGTTTCTATTTTCTTTTGCCTAACATTTTCCCTTTACTTTCCTTTCCCATTGTACTCTGTCTCTGATGCTATTTCTAACTCTTTGTCCTCCCGTCTACTGCTCCCTGTACGTTGTTCGCGTCAAAGAGATCTCTCTGTTAGCGCGCGTTTTCAAGCAGAGAGTCGCGTGTGATTTAAATAAATGTACCGCGTGACGAGCACGGGGGTGAAACAGTAGGACTCGGGGGGATGCACGAGGACATCAGCCCCGGCTACGATCCACCATTTCGTTGAAGGTTAGCGGTATAAGAGGCACATCTACCGCGTAGATCCATTCTTAAACCAACGCTATCTCCGTTCTGACGGATGAGCAGCTTTGCGGGATCGTTTTACGGAGGCGCGAAGGATAAGGGGATGATGCGACAGATCGGAAATGATCGTTTTGTTAACTGTGAAAATTCTTCGAAAAATTGAGAATTATCTTCTTTATGTTCCAGCTCGTCCCGACTCGTCCGAATTCGTCCTAGAGACACATATTATGTGAGGTGAAAATTGCAACGAGGGAAACGAAGATGTCCGCCGTCAGCGTGGCTGCATGGCTGCTCAGCGCCGTCGCTTTTGCTGCGATTAATAACGGTGAGTCCGATTATAAAACTCTTTTCTTTGATTCATTGCATGACCATTCGTCTTTGGTGCTATAATTTTATTTCTTTCGCCAGTTGTTAAAAAAATATTACTCGTGGGTTTTAATTGAAAGCGAGCATGCAACCGATACGTTTCGCCGGGACATTTAAAATCTCAATTACGCGGTAGAATCGTTCGATCAGAAACGAAAGCAACGTCCACGTTATCAGACGCTGATAATATCCCTATGATACGCAGGAATCGTGTAATGGAATTTTCGATCACAGCTCTTCATTCGTTAATTCGTTTTCCTTTTCGCTTAACACGCTCGTGCGAAAGGGTTGTACCATTCTGGTAAAAGCATAATTAAAACGACCTGGTAAAGGCGACGCGTCTGCGGCCATTGCACAAGCGTTGAAAGTTTCTCGTTACCTTCGAACTCGTTCGCATTCAATTTAGATGCAAGAATGGTTGTTTCGAGTCGCTAACGAACTTTCGACTTCTTTTCTCCTTCTTGCGTCCACTTGGACAAAACCGTGCGGAAGGACGTTGACATTTCGAATGCAAGGCGGCAATTAGCGATAACGTCGTTACGGTAGCAAAGTGATTTTCAGATGGTTACGAGCTTCCGCTCTAGTAGAGGAAAGTAAAGTTAATTCTTGTCGATAACTTAGCCAGCTTAAATTAAAGTTCGAATTTTAAACATTTCTATTTGCAATTCGTTGCAACGAAATATTTCATTCTCGCCAGGAGTCTTTGTCTAACGTCTAATTTAATCTTCTTGATAGCCAATTGATATTGGGTCACGATTACAAGGGGAAGGGAAAATTATACGTCTCTCTTTCCTATCTCTTATCGTTTTTGTTCTTGTCGAAGAGTCACGAAGAAGTTCGATCTACAATTCAAATATTCAGGCTTGACCCAGAACAAACGAACGCCTTTTTTTCCTTCCTGAATTTCCTCCTGCAGGTTGTTCCGTGATCCGATACCAGGCAGAATAATTTTCTCGATGGTCGCCACTACCTGTTTCACCCTGATCATTTCCAACGAATCGTTGAAACACTCCATACAGGAATTTCGTGCTCTTGCATATGCAATGGCTCGTTTGTTGGTTGGGCGCTGCACCCCTCCGAAGGGTGTGCTACGTGTGCGACACACAATGATCCCCGAATCAAAGTGAGTTCGCTTATTTGACTATACGCGTATGAACACGTTCGAGCGTGATCGTTTGATCCTTTGCGAGGGCGGAAGTGTAAATATATCGGAGCAATGTTAACAGAACATGTTTGAAGCTTATCGAGCAGCCAACGCGGTCTCATAATTAATGCGTTACGGTGAAACCTTTCGCGATTAATTGTTTATTTCGTTTGTTTTCGATATGAACATTCGCGATTGAGTCGTTGCGTGCCAGTTGGTCAATTTCCAAACGTACGAAGTTTCGTACGATTCGATGACGTATAACCACCGCAAAATAGCACTTGTGGCGTATTAGCCCTTTGACTGCTGAGGATTCTAGGCTTGAACGTTCTGTATGTACAAAATAAGAATCAAGTCAATAACACTTATTACTTTTCTTTCTATTCCATTTCATTTCTCAGTTCATTTTTTCATTTGTTTTTTTTTCAGCGTTTTGTCATATCATTAGAATGTGATAACATGTGGTGTGTAATTAGTAATATGCGTTGATAACTTTTAGTTAATTGTGACTAGTATATAGGAAATAATCTATGGACGCAGGTACGCGTCCCTAGTCTGCGTCGGTAGCTTTCATCGGACGCATATGTGCGTCCATAGCAGTCAAAGGGTTAATGTGAAGCTTGAAATTCAATCGGCTATCTAACCGAAACCCCTATGATAGAACAGGAAGAGATAAGAGCTTTCCTTTCTTTCTCTTTATTTTTCTCTGTTCGAACACGGACAACGATACGAGAACATCGAACGTCCGTCGAGCGGTGCAACTTAGACGGCCTTGTTAGATCAGAATCATTAAAACGAGAATGCTCGAGTAGTCTGCGATTGTGTGGGTGGTTGGTGCAGAGTGCACGGTCTCCTGCACAGGCGAGCGAAAAAATACATACGTACAGGCGACTCGTTAGCTTCCGTCTCGAGCTGCGGGCAATAAACACTCTCTTTTTTTCACGGGCCAAACAATGCAGTGACACGGGGCGAAAAATTAACGAGGCACGAGTCAAATTCAAACTCATCTCCATCCGGTTTCATTCCCATCTTTTTTTTTTCTCGTTGCCTTTCCCCTTGGATGTCGTTGCTGCTTTCGGTTCGAACGCTTCTGTGCAATCTGTCGGTCGCATCGCCATTCCGGATGTATTCATCGAAATACACGTATCCGTTCGCCAACGTCCTCTTGTTTCTCTCAACGCTTATACATACCCATAATGTACGTATACACGCGATGACGTATGTACATCGAAGTTGGCGAATTCACGATAGACGCGCAGATACGTCCGATCGGTCATTACGAGCAATTCCAACGGGCCAGGTAAGCCTGTTGACCAAGCAGCCTCTCGTAATTACATCACCAATTTGCCGAACGTTCGTTGACGAAGCGACTGTTGGACGTGACGTTAAAGACGAGAGATGACGAGATACCGAGAGTTAAGCGTGCATTACCGTCGCTCACGGCTATTCGATAATAATGAGACTAGAACTAGCACTTGCATTTCTATTATTTCCCCATTAACTGATGGCTGTTGCGCACCGTCACACGGTTTAATCCCCTGTCGCCACCGGCAATATCGGTGAATAAATCGAAACAAATCGATCGACCGGTTCGCGTTTGATACGACCGATGAAAAAGGAATGACGAGTTTTAGAGCTGTTGACCAACGATATTACTTTATTAAGAAACAACCGCTACAAAGCCTCGTTCACGCGCTTTGAGATATTAACCGGAGGAATTCTATTTCACGCGGAACCTAGTTAGGTACGAGATTACCTTTGCGGTTTCCGGGTAATCAATGTAAATCCCTCTTTAGGAATTTCCATTCACGGTTCGCGGTTGAAAATGAATTTCCTCTAGAAGATAGAGTATTTGATCGCATAAAATGATGCCAAACTTTGACCATATCTATCGTGATATTTGCCCTGAACGAGGGAACGAATGGCACAATAAGGGAATTGTAGTGGTGCCGGTTAACTCGAACGATACGATATAGGATTGGGTAAAAAAGTGGACGGCAGTTTGCGGAGAAATCGATGCGATAACGTAGTTTGGAGCGAGGCGTGCCAGGTTTGGCCCTGTTTCGCGACACGGTTACACGAGCCTTTGAAGACAGAGCCGCGAGTAACCGGGATGTAAGAAGATCACAGAAACGACGATGTTGTCGGGCCCGCAGATATAGGTTGCCTGCCTCTATATGTCTTTATCTCGGTCGGGATTGCATTGTTAGCACGGAGCGCATTGTTTGAACGGTGACGCGAGGCCTGGGGCGACCAATCAGCGTTCACGCTAGCCGTGCCTTATCAAAGATTTCAACCACCCACCTGCAGGGCTTAAATCAACCCGCCCCGAAGCTTTCTTTCCCTCCTATCTCTCTCTCTCTCTCTCTCTTTTGCTTTTCCTCTTCCTTTTCATTCCGAGAGCTATCTGCAAAAACAGATCGACCCTAATTGTCAATCCTTGGGTCACTTTTCAACCAGCTGATTCTTGTATCAACCTGTCCCTATGTTTTTATCTAGATTCGTTAAGATTATTTGATCGAGTTGACCGAGTATTGCTTTCCTTTAGACTTCTTGTGATCTATCAGTGAATTTGCTCCACTTTTAACGGATATTTAGTCTATTTCGCTATAAATAACTAGATAATTCTAATTCTACCATCCATCATCGAATTCTTTAAGCGAATTTATCGCGATGTATCACGTTTCCTCGATCAACAGCTCAGATACATAATTTAAGATAAGTGGAGCAGGGAAAGATCGTTCGCGATTTGGACCGTTCTTTTCAAGCCTTTTCTTAAGATCGCGTCTCGGTTTCTCGTAATACAATGAACCTTGTTGGAGGCAACGAAGTCGATACAAACTCTTGGAGGTGTCGTGCTCGGGGTTCGTCGGCGAATAAAAGTGTTGGCGGTGCATAAACTGCAGCCTACGGTATTGTTCTCAGCTCGAGAAGGCGGCTAACTAGGCGGTTATTATAACGACGCCGAAGAAAATATTGAATGTAACTCGGAGGCTGGCCTCTCCCCTTTTGTCGTGCTAGGTTAAACCACGTCCTCGAACTTTGTTCGAGGTCTGACGTTTCTTAACGACGTGGGAAGGGTTCGACGGTGTTATTGTGTTCCGCTTCTTATCGCTTTTGGGGATTGCCTCGCGCCACCAGGGAAAACTCGTTGTTCCGTTTTGACGTAAAAGAGATTTATCCCCGAGGTGGCGCGTTCGTGACCAACGTTATCCACTTTCCGAGCCTTTCTTTGTTTAGAGATGTACTAAAAGTTTTTGCTTTCTCGCAAAGTTTAATTTAGGAAGCCACCGAGGAGGGTGTTCGATGAATTAAGAAATCTTTTATGCTTCCAAAGACAGGGTAAATATTCACGAAACGAAGTTCCTTTTGATTAACTCGTGCGATATTTCCTTTGAAATTGATACTTTGGTGAAAGTTTTATGAATGGTCAAGCTCGGATGTAGTACACCTGCGGCGATACACGATGTTCAAGAAAATGTGTCGAAGCTTTTGGTAGATTTATCGCTCGGAGTGGTATGTAGGTATGTATAGAACATATGGGAGTTTGGAAGGAAAACTAGGAGGATGTGAAATTGAACTGTTTCGAGAGAAGTAAACTGTGGAAATTAAATTAAACTTTCCTCTCAAGTACTAGCTTTCGTTTTAACTTTGTTCATCATCCCTCGATGATAGAATGTTTCCGTTCGCGATTAAACGACAAGAGGATACTACAAAATTCTATTTCTTCACACTTATCTACTATTTCGAGTTACCTATTCAAACTGAAAGTTGTATCAATAATTGTGAACCAATCAATATTAAATCACTAAACA